CAAACCCAATACCTGCCACTGCCATACATGGGGCCAGTCTTTGGCTACTGTGACACATCAGGGCCTGTGCAGTGCAGGAAATCACAGAGAGCACCATGTAGGTTTGTAGACCTCAGAGACACAAGAAGAGTCCCCAGGTAAATGGAATTGAACAGCAGCATTTTACAGCTACCCACTTGAGTTCAGTAATTTTTCATTTCCTCACACACAACATTCTGTCTTCATTTGGTTCTCAAGGGAAGTTACTATTTCCTGCAAAGCAGCACTCACAAGTGGGAAGGAAACATGAACCATGGCCTTCCAGGAAACAGAACCTGAATTGAGATCCAAGGTGGAATTACATTAATGGTGAACCACAAACTCTCTGTCAAGAAACGTACTTCCCCTCTTTTACCACATGTGCAGATCCACAAAAATGTGACTGCTCCTGAGGTCATTTTTACATCTCCTAACATATGACAAAATTTAGTAGACAGATATATCCCCCTCACATGTCCTCATTCCACATCTGCAGTAATAACATGTCAAAGAAAAAAAACACACAAGCAATGCAGAGATGCAGAAGAAGTGCTTTCAGAGAAACTCACCAGGAGGAAATCTCAGGCTTCTCTGTGGGCAAGGAAATTCATCCTCCAGAGCACCTTGAAGCAACTGAGGTCTCAGGCTGGAAGTGTGACCTTGAAATCTTGTTCTGGACTACCAGGGTGGCTTCATTTCATTAAACACTCAAGAGCTCTCATCAGCTTTTCTACTTTGTGGCCTGCTCATAGCCCACAAGTTTGAAGGCCTAAGTTAGAAGGCCTAAGTTTGAAGGCCTAAGTTTGAAGGCCTACGTTTGAGGGCCTAAGTTTAAAGGCCTACATTTGAAGGCCTAAGTTTGAGGGCCTAAATTAGAAGGCCTAAGTTAGAAGGCCTAAGTTAGAAGGCCTAAGTTTGAGGGCCCAGGTTTGAGGGCCTAAGTTTGAGGGCCTAAGTTTGAAGGCCTAAGTTTGAAGGCCTAAATAAGGTCAGCTATAACAGGTACATGAGAAACATATCTAAT